CCCAAGATAACTCTCCCTGCGCAGTTCTTTAGTTCTAATTGAACAAGCTCCTATACATTCTAGAAGGACTTGTCAATGTGGCCAAATTGAGGTAGGTAAAATAAAACTGTCCCTTTCCATGAGGAAGTTCTACAAAGGGGAGGTCCAATTATTAAAAGCTATTAGACTTAGAAAGATTGTTGTAAGACCATTGATGAAAAGGTGGGGCAAACAGGACGCAGACATTTAATATCTTCAGTTTGAGAGGCCATTTAATCTTATTACACAAAAGAGCTCTCTTAACTGCCTTCAATTGGAAAGTTCTTTGAAATTTAAGTTTCATGCATTTTTATTTGGGGCCCTGGAAACAGCCTTCTATCAAGAAAGTAAGTCCTTTATGTCTAGGGTACCTGTATTCTGTGAATAAGTCACCCTGTGGATTTCGCTTTCTGGTATACAGATATATACAGGATATAATTACTGCAGTGATATGAGTTTTTAAAAATACAGTATTTCTACCTTTTTAATTAACCTGGAAACAGGAACTTAAAAATTAAATTGTAATTCTGATGATATAGCATCGAGGAAAGTTACATGAGAACATGGAACTATCATGATTTTTCTCACAGTATTTTTTAGCTTAAGGGATTTTAACTGTCAAAGTTAAGACTTTGCCATATTTCAATGATTACTATTCTCAAAGATGTATGAATACATCTCAACGAGTTATTCAAGCCAGAAAATAATTTTTAAAAATCTTTTGTCAGTGAATGTTTGTAAGCATGAATCCAGAGGAAATACCAGAGCATTTCTACTCAAAACTTTCCTTCAAAACACCTACGTTTCACAGTTATTTGAAGTCACTTAACTCCTAGGACACCCTAATTTTACCTCCCTGGCATCAATGAACTACAAAAAAGATCACCTGAGAAACTACAAAAGTTTATCATTGTTTAATATATAAGCTATGCATGGTAACTGTCTGCTTTCAATTTTTATTCCCCTTTAATGTTTCTCCCTGAAAGAAATCTCCATTCTAGTTTGTAAGCTACTTAATGATTTCTTTATTGATCATTGTATGAAATCATATTTCTCTCTCATTTTTATAATTATTTATTTTTAACTATTTTTAACAATAGTTAGCATCTGCCGTGTATGCCAGCACTATGTTGAATACTTGGCATGCAGTATTTCTTGAAATCTTGCAACTATACAGGATATGTAGGACTACTGGTCCCCATTTTACAGATGAAAAAACTAAGGCTTAAAGGGATTAAGTAATTTGCTTAAGGTCAAACATCTGACAAATGGTGGAACCAGGATTTTAACTCCACAGGGTCTGGTTCCAGAACCCGAGTGCTTACCTACCATGTATATTACTCTTTGAGGTTTAATCAAAATTCAGTCAAATTATACCACGTTTGTTTCTCCCTTGTAAAGAGGTTATTCAGACTGAGATACGTATCCATTTCTTTGCTTTTCTTCTATCCCTATGTGTACACTTTGGTTGTTCCACCAACTAACTGGCATAAGAAAACTAGTCTTACCACTTTTGATTAGCTTTGGCAGTTAAGTATATACATTGGAGATCTGGTTATCACTATTTTTTTTTTTAAAGTCTTAATTAGATGATTTCTTATTTATGGACTTCTGAGGGCTACCTGCAGGAAAAAATGACTTAACGTCATAAACTCTGCTCTTTTCCTGAAATCACATTTTGATTTGGTGTATGATCACTTTTATGCATACTCCTTACTGTAAATACATTGGAAAAGTCCATTAACATTATTTCTAACATTGGCTGCTAAGATAAAACAATCATCTTTAATTCCCTTAATTATCTCCTAAACTTCCTTTTTGCTTATTTGTCCTAAAATTACTGACTGATCTTAACGGCTCTGTTTTTATTGCTTATTGCTCTCGTCAAGTGCGTAGAGCCATGCTCTATTGCTTATTACTATAGATGCTATTTTACAGTGCTACTTAACTGCCTTGACCTTGCTTAGCCTTTCTATTTTAAGAGGTAAGTGAGAAGTAGAACTGGAACAGCAAGTCTTCCATGATTTTCAGATTCGTGTGCTTTCTCTACAATTCTAATTCTTTGGGTACAAGCTTCACAGCACATAAGCCTACAGTCCTGGCCTCAACCAGCGAAGTGGATATTATTTCCTAGCAGAGGTGACTGACTGAGGTTGAGGAACAGCTCTCTGATCCTTGTGCTTCTTTTGCTAAGAGCTCTCTGGGCCTAGAGAAGTAGCTGATAGTCCACTCTTCTCTTGTCTCTTAGTCATCACTTTGCACTTAAGGACAGTGATGATGAGGCCTTTTGAAATTAGGCTGGAAAGTGTTCTCTGTTTCAAAGCTGACTTCATCAAGGCTTTGGACAGTCTCGAAATGAGCTAAAGTAGCTGGCGTTTTTTAAATTTCTTTTTGAAATCCCTAGAAATTCCATTCCTATATGAAATTTCCGGTAGTCTTTTCGGGCTATTTGCTGTACTGTCCTCATGAGTCACACCTTATTATCAAAGTTATGGTAGCTGTTAACTAAGATTTGGACCTCAGGGCAGGATTAGAGGGTTTTTCAGAAGGAAGTGTGAA